CCAGTGGGAGGATTAGGAGCCCCAGAAGGAGGGTTAGGAGCCCCAGAGGGAGGTTTAGGAGCCCCAGTGGGAGGGTTAGGAGCCCCAGAAGGAGGAGTAGGAGGTTCGGAAGGAGGATTTGGAGCAGGAATACCTGCTACTGGTCTTACTGCAGGTGGCCAACAAGGAGGGGCATTCCCGGCAGGAGACCTAGCAGGAGAAACTGGTGAGCTGTTTTGCTCTATATTCTGACTTTTTGCATTCACTTATCTTTAATTAATACAATGACGGAATTACCGTTACTAATGGTATAAAATTACTGATAATAGAAAACATGGTTTGGTTTGATGACATAGAATCGGAATCTATTTAATCTTTCGAATTCTAAGGCGAAAAATCAAAGTTTCCGTAAACTCTGGAAAGTGTAGGTCTTAAATGCAGCTAATTACTTTTGTTGACTTTCTTCTTTCCATTTCAGCTCCTCCGGTCAAGGACGCCTGGAAGACTAAAAAGACTGGATTTAAAAAGCAGCGAGGCGAGGACCTTGGGCTGCTAAACAGCAAAAAGAAAGGTCACATTTCCCATCACAAGCATGGTTAATTGGTTATTTTGCTAGGCTCAAAAATTGTTATGTAGTGTACGATAAAATAAATATATATATAGGGCGAACAAGGCCATGTCTTGTCTTGTATTACAACTTTTGTTATGTTAATGCTTTTATTTGCGCGTGTTTTCTTTCGCGTGTGTTTTAATCCGCGTAATAGCAAAAATAATAACGACATACTTCACTGTTTAGATTTTATTCTCAGCTGATTCGAAATTTTGATAAAAGGGTAGACTGAATCAGGGCTCTGGTGCCCCCCACCCCTCCCATCATCACAGAAAAAAATAATGGAAATGGGTGAATAAGTGAAATGAATAAGTGAATGAATAAACTTGAAAATAATGAAATGTAAGAGTAGGAATCTTTTCGCCCAATTTTTAAAGAAATTTAAAAACAAAAAAAAAGAAGACAAAGACAAAGACCAAAACTTTAAGGTACTTATCCATAATTGGAAAAAGAGGTCAAACAGTTGAATGCCAAACAGCAAAAAACTAACTCAATCGTTTGTTTCTTATTGAAATCAACATTTCAAGATTCCTTCTTTGGACCACAAATTGCCATATTTCTGGAATTTCCGTTTGTTTCTAGATTTATAGGAAGGATCTTTGGCCTTGTGCTACGATTTCAATGGCATTAAATCATCAATATGACACAGCTCAGAATTAAAGGAAACAACGGGATTTGATTGAAGTTCTTTTATTCATGGTAATTTGATTATTTATTTTTGGTAATACCTTCGTTCTTGCTATTTCATTGTTCCTCGTATTGGCCGCGAAGTTCGGCCGACCCCATTGTGGCATTTGAATCGTTGAGCAAAGCTGCCTTTCCGTGCTTGTCCAAGACGGTATGTCTCTTAACTGATGCACAATAGCTTTCCTTATCAAAGTTTCCTTTTGGCACATTTTCGGAAAACTCTCCGAAAATGTTCCCAGCCGGTTTATATCTAGCCACAGTATAAGTACATTTCATGCCGTTTTTCTCCCCTGAAGCTTGTCCAATACCAAGAAAAATGCTTTCTTTCCACACTACCTGAGTGAAATGGCCTGTCCCACCGCTGAAGGAGGGGGTATAAAAGCTATATCCTGGAAGACAGACCTCGTTGTACCTGGAAGATAATAGAGAAAGAAAGAGTACAAAAACAGAAAAAGTAAAGTATGTGATTTGCGAAGGCAGATTTTTAGGTTAAAAACTTTTTTCATGAACCACTTTTTATCCTTTGATTAGTTCCGGAAAAAAACTGCTCCTAAATTGGTAGGGGGAATGAAACGAAAAAAGAAGCTGGTTAATTGGGTAACGGTAAGAAGGGAATGGTACGGGGAAAGGCCGCGCTTTTCAGTGATGCTTTTTTGACCCAGCGATAGCATTATTTTTGTTCTCCTGGTACAAGCACGTGTATCGTGAGTACCTGATCATCAACTGGCTATTATATTTACCAACTTACACTCATCAGGGGAAGGAGAGAAGCTAAATGAATATCGAATGGTATGGGCTACCAATTTTTCAGTGCTCAGAGTTCTCAAAAACTATGTTCTTTTCAAGTGAGGCGACGTTAAATTGTCACAATCCATCAAACACATTGTTCCTGCATGGTGGTAACGCATGTGGAGATTGTATTATTTCATAGGAGAGCTCAAAAGAAGCTAATGAGGAAAAAGACAGCGTGCGGATTTAAAGGACGAAGGACTGAAAGAAAAGGCACAATGGAGAAGCTGTTCGAAACGAGTTCATTTGACTAAATCCTCTGCATTGCCCTATTTGGAATAAATGCCCGTAATAAGGGATAGAATCTTAACACTTGAAGCCCCTAACTCCATATTCCTCAATCCAAACTGGTTCTAAAATAAGTTATCTGTTCTAAATAACTCTCTTCGTTTAGTACCGTCGCATATCACTTTTTTTAGATGCTGATGCGGAGTATTTCAGGATAAAGTTTTTAAAAATATAGTCAAGGTTGTTATAATAAG